TCAATATTTGCATTCAAGGACTGTTTGGACAATAATACAACATTTCATTGATTTAAAAGCTGGACTGTCAATGCAACAGAAAAAGATTAGCTATGCAATTTTTGTCATTTTTATGAATTTTTAAATCACTTTCAAAATCTTTATTTTTATTTGTATTATTGTGAAGCAACTCATGATTTTTACCTTGAGAGCCACTATATAAAAGATTGTTTCTACTTCTTTTTGTTCTATTTTACTTTGAAGGTAAATAAATGAAGATGTCACTGATTTCAATGAGCTTGTACTCTTGGGAAAATGTCATAACCATAAAGCAAGATGGATAGATTTCAAACCAAGGTTAAACCACTTTAACCAAGAATCTGTACAATAAATTTGCCATCTACCCCAAAAAATTAAAAGTAAAGGTAATTTAAACAATTATGTGATTCTGGGAGAATTTTATTCAGTAAATGTTTACGTTTGTACTGAGACCTCATTTATATTGTGTCACTGTTCATTTATAACCCCGGCATTCACTTATTTTCTTGTGTTTACTTGTGGAAGCGTTCTTGAAATGAATAAAGGTTTAGTTAAAGGAAATGTTAGACCAGTTGTGCCCAGTCCGGTCCAGAAGGTGGCGCTATTTGCAACTAAGTTGCCACAATACCTCCAAAAGGAAGAAGAAGCGTTTAACCAAAGAAGAAGAGCTAGCAGGGCCGGCAGTACTACTGTGACGTTAGCTTGGTAAACAGCGGAGTATTTCAGACAAAATCAGACATTATGTTTGAGAACTTCAGAGAGAGACTTCACATGGTCCAGCAGGACTTTTCCACTGGGTACCGGAACTTTTTTCTTTAGCGTGTCGGTTTTGTGTTAGCTTGCAGATTAGTCTTTTTTTCTTTAGCATGCTACCAGCTAGTCAGCTGATTGTCACGTGATCCAGGACGTTGCATGGGAACTCGTTTAGCGTGATCATAATCAATAATAATAATACCACCACTGGTTATTGTGCTAAAAGTTATCAATCAATGTTACTGGTATAATTCAGGTAGTGTTGGAGTCGCTGGGACTCCTGATGCCATCTGCGGAAGAATCCTGGAAGGTTCTGGGAAGATTGAAACGTCACCTGTGCGGATCCAAGGCTTTACGTTCCTCCCAACCTCAACACATTAATTGATCGGGACCTTGCCATGTCTAAAGTTTGTTCATATGACAGTTGAACCCTTTAAATGGACTGCAGCTCCCATGCCTGCTCTGCTGTCTGTAGTTACATGTCCATGAAAAGGTCCATTGTCCTGATGCATGACCCTCTTATATCCTGAACCAGGTCTAGTCACCATACGAGCTCTCCACCGTTCTGATAACTGGGATCCGTTGTTTGCTTTTCCAGAAATGATGCTGTGCATTACGGGTAAATATCCCCACTTAGTCCCAGTGTTTCAGAAACCTTGTAGTTCATTCAGATTAAACGTTATCAACCGGAAAGGCTACAGGGTTGTAACAATTCATTTAGAATAATGTATCTAAATACGTTTATTGAAGGGAGGCTCTATTTAAACACGGTGACGGTGGACTGCTCGGTCTTCACGTGATTTAGATGCACCAACACACTCGGTCACAAAACATCGATAACTTTATACAAACGACTGATTCAAAGATGTTTCTGAGAAGAAAGCAATCCAGCTCCACGGGCCCAGGCTGGTTAGGATTTTTTCTGCTTTAACAATGTTACCTGTTCTAATTAATAAATTCATGACTTCTGCATTTTCGGAATATAGGACAGAACATCTCGGCTGATGAGGAGCTCCGCTGCCTTACCTCTGACATATTTAAATAAAGTTTTTTAAACAGCAAGCTGTTGTGGTCAGGCCAAACTAGGGATGTGTATTGGTGAAAGTATCACGATACGGGGAGGCGATACAATATATCACGAAATATTGTGATACATTCAGCCAGACGATATTAGCGATCTGAATCTATAATAGGAATATTCAATAAACAGTCCAAACTGATATGTAACATGTTTAACATGAGCTATCTGAACCATAATAGAGGGATTTACATTTCAATGGTGGAAATAAAATTACATTGCACACTGCTGCCAACTAGCGGTCGGTGTTTGAATTGCACCAAAAGTAAAGAAAATACACAAATGTTTGCATGTAAAATCTTCAAAAAATTAGATACTTGGCATTTGAGTATTAATATAATATTTCAGGAAAAAATATGATATTTTGCCATATCGATATTTTCAAAACACAGCTTGAATATTGATATATCGCTGGAAAAACGTCACGATACATTGCAATATTGATATTTTCTTACATCCCGATAAGATGCATCGAAATGCCAAAATAATGACGAGACACGTTTACAGTACTATTAGAGACTCACTTATACAGTTTATTTATTTATCTATGTTTTAGATCTCGTTTTCATGGAGGTCCTCCTTTGATGCAACGAAACAGGATAAGATAACAGAACCACCAGTGGCTTTAGAGAAAATAACAGTAAAACAAATAAATACTTAAATGATACTCAACAACTAAAACTACTAAAGTAAGACATTTAAATAAAGATCCAAATAAAAAACATAAAATAGTAACTTCACTTTACAGTAATGATTATGAAACATCAGATACAAACTCAGAAACAATTACAACTAGTAAATGATGCAGCATGTGAGTAAACAATATTTTTAAATAACTGGAAAGAAGTGATGGGCCGTATCTCCATGGGGAGCCTGTTCCAGTCTACTGGTGCTTTAACACAAAAGGCTATTCTTCCAGAATTTTTAGTAAAAGAGGGTACAACAAAAGAGAGTTGTGCATTAAACTGAATGCTGTACTGACAGTCAAAGGTACCCAGGGAAATCAACAAATATACATTTAAAAATAAACAATAACCAGTGAAACCGGTTTATCAGCAAAGGCTGATTTAGGTGTTAGTTGCTCTTGAATGGGATTTTGTATGTTCATATAACAACATGAATGTGGTTGTGTCCTTAAATGGCTCCATATTTGCTTCTCTGTTTCCTGGCCTCAGCTTCAAGACCCTTGGAGACAAATCAAGAGACTCCAAAATGAAGGGGAGATCCAGGTAATTATTGATCTCTCTGTCTCTGTCTCTCTCTCTCTCTCTCTCTCTCTCTCTCTCTCTCTCTCTCTCTCTCTCTCTCTCTCTCTTTTTCTCTCTGTCTATGTCTCTACCTCTGTCTCCCTCTTTGTCTCGCTCTGTCTCTACCTCTACCCCTCTCTCTCTCTCTCTCTCTCTCTCTCTGTCTATGTCTCTACCTCTGTCTCCCTCTTTGTCTCGCTCTGTCTCTACCTCTACCCCTCTCTCTCTCTCTCTCTCTCTCTCTCTCGCTCTCTAAATGACTTGACTTCTACACCTAAATAAACGTCCCACGCTGTTGTGCAGCAGAACTTAAAAGCCCCAAAATCGTTATCGATCCGATAAATAAAACCAGGCCGATATTAACAACCGATATTTTTTCCATCTTGTCTCCATTTGTTTACCTGTTTCAGAGGGTGATGGGGTTGTGTGTATTTCTTTATTCACGTGACGGTGATTGTAATCATCTCAGAAGCATACATGTGTGTGTTGTGTGTACATAATAACGTAAATTCAGCTTTAATGATTTTCATTCTATACAAAATCTGCTGATTTTAGAAGCATTAATGTCAGTTTATCCATATTGGCCTTAACAGTGATCTTAATATCGGTATCGGCCCAAAATTTCATATTGGTGCATCACTAAAAGAAAGACAGACGTGTGTGTGTGTGTGTGTGTGTGTGTGTGTGTGTGTGTGTGTGTGTGTGTGTGTGTGTGTGTGTGTGTGTGTGTGTGAGACAGAAGGGCTCAGTCATCCACGCATGTAAATAATGTTTACTCAACAAGAAATTATGTCTGTGGAAAATCATCTTCATCACATAGATGGTGTTAGAACCTATAAGACACCTGTGACCAACAGGAATCTGTAATTGTAGCATGGCTGATCTTGAGGGATTTGTCAGAGCGTGCTCTCCAGATGGAACGGTCTTCTGTGAGCGCTCTGATCTGCATGGTGAGAATACAGAGTGTGTCCTCTGACAGACAAACCTTTCCAAGCAAGAACAAACCAAACTCCAAACAGAACATGCATTCAGCTTCCTACCTGTGATCTGTAAATGACAACAGAATGGAACGGTCCATTAAACTAAGGTTTTTCATATTCAGTTTTATGTAGAACCTTTTTTTTTTTTTCTTCATTACTAACGGGGACATCTCCTCTGTCCCGACCACGTTTACAACTTCTGCAACGTGTTTGGTTCTTCTCCACTTCGACAGCCAGTGCCTCCATCTCAAAGTATTTTTTTCCGGGAGGAACGCAGGGATTCCCCTCACGACCTGAGGATGTGGTGTGACCAAATATGGTTATTTGAGGCCGTTTCTCTATGTAAACGACTGAACGGACACAAGCACCTGGATATGCACAGGTGGGATTTATCATTAATCGATTGCGGAGGGATATGCGTCTGAGTGGCCACGGCATGTTTCATAGATCAGGATTTTGCCGGAGAGTGGAACATCAGCATCTTTAGAGTGACCGGTAGAAAGTAGATGTTCTACATGCAACACTTTGTTAGAGATGGGTAATTCTCCTCATGTTTGAAACCGTTCACCGTCTCTTTGGATGGACCAGCTACAGATGTAAACTGAGTCTGAACAGAGAACGGTTAGCTCACTGTGTATCGATAAATGAGTTGTTGCTCAAGCCTTGTGTCCCTCTTCTGTTCAGGTTGGAAGAAGGTTTTCCACATTTTAGTGCTGGGCTGGACATCTTAAGCAGGTTTACAAACACAAACACACACAGTCCAACATAGTTAGTCCTAATGTCAAAAGCAGATGGTCATGATGATTCATTTGATATTTTTTAGATATGAGAAGAGTTGGTTTCTGCTCCACAGAAGAACGAAGGACTGCGCTCAGCTGGCAGAGGTATGAAGTGTTTTCAGTTTCATATTTAAAAGTAAGTAATACAACCCCCAAGGCGCTTCACAACACAATCAGCCATTCACCCATTCACACACACACACACACACACACACTGGTGGGGATGAGCTATGATGTAGCCACAGCTGCCCTGGGGCGCATCAACAGGCGCCACCGGTCCCTCCGACCACCACCAGCAGGCAAAGCAGGTTAAGTGTCTTGCCCAAGGACTAGGGATGTCCCGTTCCGATATCAATATCAGAAGTAATTCGATTGGCCCAAAAACAGAGTATCTGATTTCATCGAGCTGCATCAAAAATCTCTGATATAAGCGGTCTGTTAAGGTTCACATTTTTACAACCAAGGGTTGAAAAAATAGTCTTTTTTTTTCCTACTTACTGTTGCTGGCTCTTGTTCTCCGATTGAGTAACAGCACTTGATTAAGCCTGGCATACATTCCACACTAGGAAATATGTAAAAGTACCAATGATTTATGCTGATATTGTTTCGGATTGATTTCGGTATCAGTCAGTACTGAAGGATGTAATACTGGTATTGTATCGGAAGTGAAAAAGTTGTATTGGGACATCCCTACATCTAACCCAACATTTTTATTTTTAGTCAGTAGATGGTGACATCGTAATGCTGTCAGCTCATTGGGAGAGGAAAAGAGCAGCTCTCAAACATCTACAGGAGCAGCTGCAGACCTTGCCAGACCTAATCAGTGAACTGGATGCCATCACTGCCAACATTGGTATGATCTTTGTGAACTCAGCACACACACACACACACACACACACACACACACACCCACACCCACACACACACACACACACACACACACACACACACACACACACACACACACACACACACACCAGTTTTTAAAGTTTATTGGGAGCCTAAGTCACGCCCATCTACTTCTGCATCATGGGTCCCCAATGGGACTAAAAACGCTATTTTCTAATTCCGCTTTTTTTGTTCCATGGATTTCACATATGATGTCGGCGAATTTTAAAGACGCATTTTCATACCAAGAACACGTTTATTTTCTAACGAGGGGAACAAATTTTTAGGTTTTGTGTGACAATAAGTCCAGAACTACAAATACGCAGCATGAAAGTGATGTCATCGAACCAGACACGGAGAAAACTGAGGGAAAAGGGCTGTGAGTTCAGCAAACTCTCACAGGAGGAAAGAACCACCATAAATCTCGCCACTTGGTAAGTAGCATCTACTTTGGGGACAGGAGATCGTGTGGTGACGTCACATATGCGACGTGCTGATTGTTAGTTTGTAGTCGTGCTAATTATGAACCTTTACAAGCTGATAAATCTCAAAGTACGTGACTAGTGTGGTCGAAACACCCATCGTTACATTTCATTTACATTGCAGCACAACATATGTGCGATCCAGGGTGTGAGGCAACGCGGATTAGAAAATAGCGTTTTTAGCCCCGTTGACTTGCATTCATTTTTTTGTTCTTCTGGGGACCCGTGGTGCGGAAGCAGACTTAGGCTCCCTATTGTACATGGTAGCGTTGGTGAATATTCAGCTTTAGCTTTTTTCACACTATACTAAGAAGAGACCCAGAAAAGTCAATGACCTTCGGGCCTTGCATTTTCAGCCTGGCCCAGTATGCTTTAAGTCACATTGAAGTTGGTCCTAAAAAGGGTGGCATCCATGTACTTGTTACTAGTGGAAAGGACAATTAGAGGCTCAGGCTAATCTTCAATTGTTTTAATTATCTGTAAGCCTTAATCATCAAAATGACAATAAAAAAAGCTTGAAATATTTCCAGGTGTACTGCATCTACATAAGTTTTACTTTCTAAAATTAGTGACAAAAAATGTAACTTTTTCTAAATATTAAATTTTTTATAGATCTGCAGTTTACCACCAAATCTAATCTGTTTGGTGGCAGAAGGAAACCTGTCTGCTATTAGACTGTTTGATCAGTGTAAGTGTGTGTGTGTGTAGATCCAGAGAATGTGTTTTGTGCTGTAGCTCATTTGGAGGGTGACTTTGAGGAGATGGAGAGCAGGCTGGTTTACCTGGAGACATTGTGCTGTCAGTGTGAGCAACAGACCATCAAAAAACACCACCTGAACCAGTTGGAAACTTACAAGAAAAAGAAAAGGTACAACTTACCATTATTATTCATCAATGTCATATGACATTTTTTCTCTAATCTGTGGGGTCTCTTCCTTGTTTGAATTAGTATTTACATCTAAATATCTTATTAAATACAGACTGACCATCCCAAGTTAAATGTATATCATTGAAATTTTTTTTAAAACTTTTTTGATCCTTTAAAACTTGTTTTAATATCAAGATATAACTCCCACCATCATAAATTTCTGTGAGTTGAGCTTTTTTGTGTTTTTTCTTAATTTTTTCATGTGCACAATAATAGAGCACATCAAGTATGTTGTTGGACTCTACAGGGAGTGCAGAATTATTAGGCAAGTTGTATTTTTGAGGAATAATTGTATTATTGAACAACAACCATGTTCTCAATGAACCCAAAAAACTCATTAATATCAAAGCTGAATGTTTTTGTAAGTAGTTTTTAGTTTTAGCTATTTTAGGGGGATATCTGTGTGTGCATGTGACTATTACTGTGCATAATTATTAGGCAACTTAACAAAAAACAAATATATACCCATTTCAATTATTTATTTTTACCAGTGAACCCAATATAACATCTCCACATTCCCAAATATACATTTCTGACATTCAAAAACGATACAAAAACAAATCAGCGACCAATATAGCCACCTTTCTTTGCAAGGACACTCAAAAGCCTGCCATCCATGGATTCTGTCAGTGTTTGATCTGTTCACCATCAACATTGCGTGCAGCAGCAACCACAGCCTCCCAGACACTGTTCAGAGAGGTGTACCGTTTTCCCTCCTTGTAAATCTCACATTTGATGATGGACCACAGGTTCTCAATGGGGTTCAGATCAGGTGAACAAGGAGGCCATGTCATTAGTTTTTCTTCTGTTATATCCTTTCTTGCCAGCCACGCTGTGGAGTACTTGGACACGTGTGATGGAGCATTGTCCTGCATGAAAATCATGTTTTTCTTGAAGGGTGCAGACTTCTTCCTGTACCACTGGTTGAAGAAGGTGTCTTCCAGAAACTGGCAGTAGGACTGGGAATTGAGCTTGACTCCATCCTCAACCCGAAAAGGCCCCACAAGCTCATCTTTGATGGTACCAGCCCAAACCAGTACTCCACCTCCACCTTGCTGGCGTCTGAGTCGGACTGGAGCTCTCTGCCCTTTACCAATCCAGCCACGGGCCCATCCATCTGGCCCATCAAGACTCACTCTCATTTCATCAGTCCATAAAACCTTAGAAAAATCAGTCTTGAGATATTTCTTGGCCCAGTCTTGACGTTTCAGCTTGTGTGTCTTGTTCAGTGGTGGTCGTCTTTCAGCCTTTCTTACCTTGGCCATGTCTCTGAGTATTGCACACCTTGTGCTTTTGGGCACTCCAGTGATGTTGCAGCTCTGAAATATGGCCAGACTGGTGGCAAGTGGCATCTTGGCAGCTGCAAGCTTGACTTTTCTCAGTTCATGGGCAGTTATTTTGCGCCTTGGTTTGTCCACACGCTTCTTGCGACCCTGTTGACTATTTTGAATGAAACGCTTGATTGTTCGATGATCACGCTTCAGAAGCTTTGCAATTTTAAGACTGCTGCATCCCTCTGCAAGATTTCTCACTATTTTTGACCTTTCTGAGCCTGTCAAGTCCTTCTTTTGACCCATTTTGCCAAAGGAAAGGAAGTTGCCTAATAATTATGCACACCTGATATAGGGTGTTGATATCATTAGACCACACCCCTTCTCATTACAGAGCTGCACATCACCTAATATGCTTAATTGGTAATAGGCTTTCGAGCCTATACAGCTTGGAGTAAGACAACATGCATGAAGAGGATGATGTGGACAAAATACTCATTTGCCTAATAATTCTGCACTCCCTGTAATACAACTTGTTGGTTTTGTATTTTCTAGAGTATGTTCACTGAGCCTGGTCGCCATGCCTGACAGTTATATTATTTTTCTCTGTATTTTTGTGTTCAAAAGAGGGTCAACCCCCATGTAGTCAGATAACAACAGGCACTGGGGGCAGTAGCAGCCAAAATAATATAACTACTATGCATCTTTTCATACTTGCTGATATGAGCGAATACAGAGAGTTTATGCATTTTGTACTGAACTCAATGTTCAGTGTCAAGTTTCTTAATTCCATCTAGGTTTTCCACATGGCAGAAATCATAGGGCCCTAAATGTGTACCTTCGTTCTGCCTGATGGGTGGCGAGTGGGAGGTGATCTGTACACATCACGAGCTGATGTCTTTGTCATGGAAAAACACAACAGTAGCAAATTTGGTGGTGATGTTGAACATTCTTCTCAGTTGTTCTCGTCAGACTCTGAACCCGAGAAAGGCTGTTGTCAGTGAGACAACAGGCAGAAAAGTCTGGAGCAATCAGTGACTTCACCCCCAGCTCAGTGTTTCCCAAGCCCGGTCCTCATGTTTTCCATTCCTCTGCTTCAGCACACCAGATTTACATTGGCTCCTCAGGAGGACATCAAGTGCTTTTTAGGTCAGGTGTGCGGTAGCAGAAAAACACTGAAAAGGGCAACATGCAGGCCAGTCTGCCCTGAGGGCCAGGGTTGGGAAACACTGCCCTCGCCAATCAGTGAAAAACTGTCGCTGAAGTTGTGTTGTCAGCTCGTTACACTTGGAACCACATCAGAGCAGGTATCAAATACATGTAGCAACCATGGACCCATTAGGGATGGAAATGCCATCAAACTGAATTGATTGAAGACACTCTGAGTAGGTACTGATGGACATCCCCCATAACAGCGTTGTTAACCCATTATTTCTGATTAGGAGTCACTGCAAGTATGCTTTTCTGACCCGCTTGTCAATACAACAATTCTATTCATCCATCCATTTTCATTTGCTTATTCCGGGGTGGTGTCGCAAGGGCAGCAGCCTAAGCAGAGACCCAGACTTCCCTCTCC